ACGAGGATGGCGAAGGGAGAGAGGGCGAAGAGAGAGAGAGAGAGAGAGGAAGTGGAACGAGGATGGCGAAGGGAGAAAGAGAGAGGAAGTGGAACAAGGATGGTGAAGGGAGAGAGAGGAGGGAGAGGACGAGCAGGCCATTCCCTTAAGTCGACGCTGGCCTTTCCACATGGGCTGTGCCATTGTTAAATCAATATAAGCGCCGACGAGCTTTGCTGAAGCTCGTGTGCCGTTTCTTGGCCCCTCCGGGATGATGGGGTAGGAAGTGCTTAAGCGAACAAAGCTTTAAAGCGGCGATGTAACAGGGTCTAAGCGAGGTGAAAACGCCACTAAAAGCGGCGGCCACAGCCCTCCTAAAACAGATGCATTTCCACCACCATATATATTTAGTTAGGAATATTACTTTCTTACTATTACCTTACTAGAAGTAGATAAGCTTACAGAGGTCTATTTCTAATAGATCTACCGACTTTACAGCTTACCAGCCTCTATTACTAGTAACTTAGGCACGCAATTTACCTCCGAATTTTAGTAACACCTCTGCTGTTAGTTATAATTATTACTTAATATATCTACCGCCTTTTACCCTAAAACTAATAGTTAAACGGAAATTACTAATATAAATATAAAGAAGTACTTACAGGTATATATATAGTATATATAAAATAACTAGTATAACTTACTACCCTCCGCGGAGCTTATTACTAATACTTATATTTTGGCTATAACAGGCCTGTCCCCCTTTTTTACTAATTACGGCTATAATCTTTACTTAGAGCTTAAGCCACCCGCCGCCGATAATAAAAAGGTATCTAAGAATAAAGAAGTTAAGCGCAAGCTAGCTAATAATCTAGCTTAATACCTTAAAAATATTAAGGTCTACTTTTAGAACTATATTATATAGGCTTAGAAAAAATAGGCTTACTAAGTAAACTGCTACTATAATACTACGGCAGATATACGCGTTAATAATATAGATTAGCTTAATACTAAAAATATTAAGCTAAAGTATACTAAAAAAGCCCTTAATAATAAGTTTATAGGCCCCTTCCGGGTAAATAAGGTTATTAATTACAGAGCCGCGTTTTAACTAGACCTTCTGTTAGACACTAAAATCTATAATATCTTCCACTCTTTACTTCTCCGGCTGGACACTTCTAATCCTATTAAAGGCCAGGACCGGCCTAAACCTATACCTCTGCCCGAGCTAATCTAATAGGATAATAATAATAAGCCTGTTAAAGAATAGATAGTCGCCTAAATTATTAACTTATAAATCCAGGATAATAATATATAATATAAGGTCTACTATATTAGCAGTATATAACCGTATAAATACTAGCAACTATTAAAGAATATTAAAGGTTGCCTAAATAGAGTTTTTAATTTCTATTACTATAACCCTTAGAAACCTAAACCACTAGCTTATTTTATTAAACTAAAGAACTAGGCACTACCTACTTAATAGAACTACTAAAACGTTACTATATTATTATAATAGTCTAATACACCTTAAAATCCTGCGCTGCTGTTAGATAGTAGAATTAATTCGACTAAAAACGCCTACCTATATAGTTTTATTAGCACGCTCTACCTATATATAGAGCTACGCCTATATTAGCTGTCTACTATATAAGTTTATATAGTAAGTTTCTTTTTATATCTATATTTTTACAAAAGCTTAGTTTTTAAAAAAGGGGGTATATATTATATTGTTCCTTAGTATTCTTTTAGTAGTTATCAAGGCCGCAGGTTATTATATACACGGACGTCACGTGATCGCGGGCCGAGGGTTCTTCCGCCGCCCGGGGTTCTGCCGGCGCGCGCTTAACTATATAGCAGGCTTATAGCCGGAGCCTTTCTTCTCTCTACGCAACCTTATTAATAGTAATACAACCTTTTTCCAGCCATAAACCTAATATCCCCGGACTCCGGAAACTAATAGAGAAAATTATATATAAATGCAAGTATATAAAAAATAAGTTAGTATAATACGCACTATATAAACTAATAAAAAGTCCCTCTATACCGGAAAAAGTATAGAAATCTATTATATAAAACTTTATAGTTAAGCTACTATAGTCTATTAAACCTATAACAGGTATAAAGTATAATATAATATTAGTAATAACGGACCGATTAACTAAATATACCTACTTTATCCCTTACTAAAAAGTATTAATAGCAGAAAATCTAGCCTATACGTTCTTAAAATACGTTATTAGTAATTATAGGCTACTCTAGAAGATAATTTTAGACTAAAATAAGCTTTTTATATTAAAATTCTAGTAGACCTTTACTATATAACTAAGAATAAAGCATAAGCTTTCTATAGTATTTTACCCTTAAATAGACAGGTAAACGGAAAGGCTTAATTAAACTTTAGAATAGTACCTATAATACTATATTAATTACAGGCAGGATAATTAGGTATTACTACTACTAATAGCCTAATTCGCCTATAATAGTATATCTATAGAAATAATAAAGGTATTACCCTTTTTTATAAACTATAGTTTTAATCTAGAGGCGTATTAAAAACCCTAACTTAATAGTATAAAGGCCTAGAGGGCATTACTATTAATTAAAAATAGCTTTTAATAGATATCTAATTCCTATTAGTAAGGTTAGCAAAATATTATAACTAACACCGGAGTATTACACTAACCTTTAAAGGGAGGGATAAAGTCTACCTACTCTATAAAAATATTAAAATAAAATAACTAAGTATAAAGTTAGACTATATTAAGATTAGACTATTTAAAATACAGGATATTATTAGCCTAGTAAACTATAAGCTTAGGCTATCTAATAGAATAAAAATACACCCGGTTTTCTATATATTGCTACTAGAACCCGCACCACCTAATACTAAGCTAGAAAATAATATTAAGGTTAATAATAATAATAAATATAAGGTTAAGTAAATTCTAGATTCCTAATAGTATAGTTAGTAAAAAAAGTACCTAATTAAGTAGAAAAGATATAGCACCTCTAAAAATATATAGGAACCGGTTAAAAGTTTAGTAAACTGTTAGAAACTCCTGCAGCAGTTTTACCGCTAGAATTCGGAATAGCCTAGAAAAACAGCAATAGCGCACTATTTAACTAAGAAGAATTAAAGGAATCCGAAGGCAGATTGCTACTGCTTTATAATTAGAATACACAGTAGTAAAAAGGACAGCTAGTAGTGCCTAGCACACCCTAAAAGAAAGAAATATACGCGGCAGCCCCTAAGGTAAAAGGCGAGCCTTCCTACTTAGCATGCTTTTATTCTTTCTACTTAGCCTTCTTCTAGTCCGCCTCCTCTAATTTATCTAGTATAGTAAAGCTGTAATAGAGTATTTTATTACCGCAATAATAAAGAAAAGCCTTCTACTTTCTTAAGTATTAGATTTTTAAGAATACAGCTAAAAGAGCACTATATACAGCCTTTTTTTCTACTTTAAAACACTTTTCTATAGCTTCTAGCTTTGCCCCTGTAGAAGTTAGTAGAAAGAAATAGATACTATATAGGGAATAAACAATCTGCTGCTAAAGTGCTACTTATATTATACTTTGCAAAACCCTACTAAATATATTTACTATAATACTTAAAGTCCACCCAGGAAGTAACGCAGTTAAAACCCTGCTTTTTATAAGAAAAATAAGCCACTATTTTAGTACTAACTAAGAATATATAAGCAGTAAAGGTAAGGTTATTAAAATACTTAGGTTTAGGTTTTTTAACCTTAGATATAGTAAAGAAAGAAATAGAATAGTATAATAATAGCCTAGTAAGTAGGATATTACTAGCTATTTATCTAAAACCCTACTATAGAAATACTTTCGGGCCGAAAGCCTTAAAAAAGGAAGTAAGTATTATAACCTGTAATATAAACCACCTAAGCGTAAAGGCATTTATAGAAATAAGTAAGCAGATAAAACTAATTATATAAAACTAAGTTATAGAACTATAAAGGTTATATATAAAATATATAAGAATTCTAAATTCCTTTATAGACTACTAGTAAATAGGAATAATTTAAGAATAGAACAGCGTAAAATAAAAGGTTATATAGGTGCTTATTAAGAATTAAATAAGTAATAGTAAGCGTGCTTATTAAGAATTAAACGAGTAATAGTAAGCGTGCTTATTAGGAATTAAATAAGCAATAATAAGTATATAGATTTCTTAGGACGGAGCTTTTATATATAAAAACGCTCCTTTATATAAATAGGAACCTTATATTTAACTTAAGACTTTAATACTACCTATTAGAAGTAATAACCCCGTTTTATACCTAAGATTAATTTTACCTTACCTTTTAAAGACTATTATACCCCGACAATAATTTAACCTATACCCTGCCTTAAGAGAGGAACACTAAAATCGTGATTCGACCCGTATTGTCGTACGGGCGTTCCTTTCCGTCTCGTTCGAACCGCAAGGCCCGTACGAGAGTGAGAATCACGTTTATTACTAGTGCAGCGGCGTTGCGTCGTGGCTAGAGGTCGTCTTTGGAAACGTTGTCCTCAACGCCGCCAGAATAGCAGAGTTTTCACAGGTCTTGGCGGCTTGCCACTACT